GGAGGGCTCCTGTTCCCGAGTTTAGCCCACGGAGGGCTCCTGTTCCCGAGTTTAGCGCATGGAGGGCTCCTGTTCCCGAGTTTAGCCCAGTGAGGGCTCCTGTCCCCGATTTTAGCCCACGGAGGGCTCCTGTCCCCTAGTTTAGCCCAATGAGGGCTCCTGTCCCCGAGTTTAGCCCAGAGAAGGCTCCAGTCCCTGAGTCTAGCCCAGAGAAGGCTCCAGTCCCCGAGTTTAGCCCAGTGAGGGCTCCAGTCCCCGAGTTTAGCCCAGAGAAGGCTCCAGTCCTTGAGTTTAGTCCAGAGAAGGCTCCAGTCCCCGAGTTTAGCCCAGAGAGGGCTACAGTCCCCAAGTTTATCCCAGAGAAGGCTCCAGTCCCCGTGTCTAGCACAGAAAGGGCTCCAGTTCCCATGTCCAGCCCAAGGAAGGCTCCAGTCTCCAAGTCAAGCCCAGGGAGGGCCACTGTTCCCGAGTTAGGCCTACGGAGGGCCTCTAAAGACGATATTCTCCCCAAGGATTTTTTTTTTGGGGGGTGGTATGGGTCCGTCCGTAGTGGCTGGGCCGAGTGGTGAGGCCAAGGCCACAGAGGCCATCCAGCAATGGCCTCCTGAACTGCCTTCTCCGCCATGGCGCCCCGAGCTCCCTGTTCTGCCATGGCCTCCTGAACTGCCTGCTCCGCCATAGCGCCCCGAGCTCCCTGCTCCACCATGGCGCCCTGAACTGCCTGATCCTCCATGGCACCCTGAACTGCCAGATCCGCCATGGGACCTGGAACGGGCGCCACCCTGGAGGCCTTCCGTCCTGGAACCCTGCTCCTAGAGGCCTCCAGAGCGCCCACCCCCCGTTAGATGTTGTACGGCGCGGGACGCGCCTTCTGGGAGTGGGAAGTAATGTCAGACTCTGTTCCTTGTTTTGTGTGTGTTTTGCTCCCCATGTGCCTTCCTTGCCCTTATTTGGTCCTTCCTGTTCCTGTCCCCATTTAGTTCTATTAGTTCCAGGTGTTCCTTGTTATTAGTTATCCTCCTCACCTGTCTGCCCCTCGTTATCTGCCCTATTTGTGTTCTAGCCCGTTCTGTTCTTCCTTCGTCCGGAATTGTTTATGTCAGCCTCATCAGCTAGGTGTGTTTTCCTTGTTCCCTGGATGTTATTCAAATCTATACGTTTGAATTCCAGTCCTCGTCTCCTCGCTCCTTCGTCTCTGTGCTCCTCACAGTAGTGCACCGTGACAAAGACATTGTGATTTGTCACCAAATGTAATTCTTGAAAAAAAGAGAGTGTGTGTGTGTGTGTGTGTGTGTGTGTGTGTGTGTGAGAGAGAGCATCATAAATATATGTAGTATGGTATATATTCCACTGAGGAAGTTTGTCTTTTGAATTGACAATTTCAAGTTACTCATTAACTAATGAATAGCTTTGTTTGCCTCATTCGACTTTTACTTACATTTGGTGTTTGCAAGTGACCTTAAAAAGATGCTCCACCTTCTTTATCATTATGGACATTATGCTAACAATTTAAATAATTTTCCATTTGTTAACATATAGTCAACTACATTCAGTAGTATGATGTAACAATGAACATTACTTTTACAGCACTGTTTATTTATAAATTTAGTTTGTTAATTTTCGACATTTACTAATACAATTTTAAAATTTGTAAAAAGTTGTATCTGTTAACATTAGCATTGCTAAATGTATACTGTATATATATCATTATTAGTTCATATTAGCTTATTTAACTAAAGTTAACAAATGAGACCATACTGCAAAGTGTTTCCAACTTGATTATGCAAAAGGGAATGTACTCACCCTCAGGTCATCCAATATGTAGATGAGTTTGTTTCTTCATCAGAACAGATTTGGAGAAATTCAGCATTACATCACTTGCTCACCAATGGATCCTCTGCAGTGAATGGGTGCCGTCAGAATGAGAGCCCAAACAGCAGATAAAAAAACATCTGAATAATCCACAAGTAATCCACACCACTCCAGTCTATCAATTCATGTCTTAAAAGCTGCATGTTTGTAAATTCATCATTAGGCATTTTTACTTAAAAATTTTACTTTAATCCATAATAATGCTTCCTCCAGTGAAAAAGTCCACCACCTGTTGTCCTCTCACATCAAAATCCACCAACATATTTGTTTACAACTGTTTTGGACTGTTTCTACTTGTAAATGGTGCTTGATCTGTGCATATTTCTCTCACAATTCAGATTTTTTTCACTGGTGAAAGCAATATTAATGACAGATGACATATTTTAGCCAAATTTGAAGTTTAAAAATGATGGATTTGTTTATTATAAACACACAGCTTTTCACTTCACAAGACATTTTTGATAGACTGGAGTCATGTGGATTACTTGGATTATTGTGATGCTTTTATCAGCTGTTTGGAATCTCTTTCTGATGGCACCCATTCACTGCAGAGGATCGATTGGTGAACAAGTGATGTAATGCTAAATTTCCCCAAATCTTTTCAGATGAAGAAACAAAGTCTTCTACATCTTGGATGATCTGGCGGTGAGTACATTTTCAGGAAATTTTCTTTTTTTTTGGGTGAACCTTTAATAAATGTTTACATGTAGATTTCATGAGGTGTGTGTTGTTATTCACTGCTTGTCTTACAGTTTCAGTCCCACACAGCAGCTCTGCACCTTTTCTTTTAAAACAGCCATATTTCTCTGTACTCTAGAGAGGCGGGACCACAGCGTGCCTGTGCATGGCAGTGTTATTGCGCAATGTGGAGGAGCCCAGACGCACTCAATACGCTCATATTGTAGCGCCACCACTCTGAGCCTCAGGGCTTTTCTTGTCGTTACCATGGAAATGCAGCCCACTGAGGGTAAACCACCCGTGAGGAGGGACAGTGTACACTGGTTATGTCAAAACTCAGACACAGATTTACCAACACATGCAGCTGTACAAACAGCACGCTACAAGGCTGTAAATATCAGGCGACGGCCGCTGCGGGACTCACCAGATGAAGTCGCGGCAGTGCGAGCAGTAGGTGGGCTGTCTCAGGTAGGTGGCCATGAACTTGTGTCCGCTGACTTGATGCACCCTCCTCCGGACAGCTCCCTGCCTTTTCCTGGGACGCATGCGTTCACGAAATACACGCTCCTCATTCTCACAGCTTCCTGCTAAAGCACACACAAATGCACAAACAGAAGTTAGTACATGACAGCATTCACAACCATTATTCAATATACTGGGCACTCACTCACTCCACTCACACATTCATTCATTCAGGTGCAACATATATATACGTTCCGTCCATATAAGCTGCGAATGCTCCGCATACCCAGGCCATTTGAAAGAATAAGTTCACGGGATAATTCATATAAACATGATTATAAGTTTATCCCTTGTCATTTGAAATGTAATTTAAAGCTTAAAGAGTTAGGAATAAGTTCGTACAATGATTTATTTGCCAAAAGGCAATCATTTTCTTTAAATCTACCAGTTGCGGTTGCTTCCAGGCGAGCGGATTCTCCGCAGCTTTCTCGCCTCCGCTCTGTTGCTATGACAAGAAGTAATGTTAGACATGGCATAATAGATGCTAAACTGTATATAATATTGTTGTCCCTGGCAACTATTCTCTTATACGGTCTCATATCACTCCATGGTCTCCTTTACATTTACATTTACATTTAGTCATTTAGCAGAAGCTTTTATCCAAAGCGACTTACAAATTAGGACAATTATAGAAGCAATCAAAACTAACAAAAGAGCAACAATATGTAAGTGCAAACGACAAGACTCGGTTAGTCTAATGCAGTACACGTGAATATATATATATATATATATACACACACACACAAAACAGTTCTTTCTGGTCCTCAATTCTGATTGGCTGAGAGGAGTGCGATATTCTAGTGATAACAAGTGACTCACAGCGAGTGTCATGACGGACGCCCAAATCCGCTATAATTTTATAAATAATACTGTTTTTGTCACTGAATGTACGCTAGTTTTCATTAAAGTTGTAGACTTTTTTAGGTGACAATGTAGTTATTTAGACCTGAAATGTGTGTTTAGTTAATAAAGATAACGTATATTTGAAAATTTGCTTCGACGAAATTTGCTCCAGGGCGTCAGCGGCTGTTCAACGCTCATGAATCCGCCGAGAGCAGCCTTATCTCAGCCAGTTCTTCTGGCTCTGATATCTCTATAGTGGTTAAACATCAGATATAATTCGTTTTAGGTAAATCTAACAGGCAATCTTCGGTCACATTAATCTATTATTTGTTCCAGAGCAAATTGTTTGGCTGAGGGCAAAATCTCATCACGTTATATTTTTTATACCTTTAGTGCTGTATATCAGAGCACAGCACTTTGTGCTGACTTAATTGCCTAGCAAGTTTTATGATGGCTGTTGCTGTTGTTGTTTATTATATATTATTATTCAATAAATAATATTTTATATAAATAATAGTAGTATTTAATAATAGTATTTAATATTGAGAAACGGTCTGTGTTCGTGATGGTGATTGGTGATGGTGATACTAGTTCTAAAGTGACGTTATCTAATTAGTAACGGAGGTTTGGGCTCAGCTGTTAAACTACTGACAATCTGAGATTTGAATCTGTGGTGGAAGGAAGTAGTTCTGCACAAAAGAGGGTTTTTAAAAACACTCCTTTGTTGTCATATGTGTATATGGCCGAATCATAGCTGATGCTGATATACAGCCATATCGCACTGCTATTCATGTGATATTGCTCACACACACACACACACACACACACAAACACACACACACACACACACATAAATGGTGCTTCTGACAGAGATGTTTAAAATGATTCAGTTGCACTTTACAATAAGACCTCTTTTATTATTAAAGCATCAACTAAATATATTTTACAGCATTTGTCAACCTTTGTTAATTTTAGTTAATACAAATGTTCATAGTGCATTAACTATTGTTTTTGTTAACTTTTGTTAATAGTTAACTTTAACTTTTGATTTTTGTATTTTGTATAGTTATAACATTTTATTTGATAATATATTAGTAAATGCTGAAATTAACTTAAACTAAGATTAATAAATGTTTTATAAGTATTGTTCATTGTTACTTAATGTTAATTAATGTCAAAAACTGAAACCTTATTGTAAAATGTTAATAATTCACGAGATGAAGTAGGGCTGGTTGATATGGCCAAACATATTATCACAATATACACAATATTCATTTTATACCATTAATGGGAAAGAAAATACATTCCACATAATATGACAATAGTTTTCTCAAATTAAACTGTGAAATGCTCATATTTTGCTTTTGCAAGGATGGGAACATTATAGAAGTTTCTATAACATTCTGGAATATCCTGTAATATTCTAGTGCTTTCTGGAACATTCCAGAACATCGTGGGACTAGTCATGAGACAAAAATTATCCAACGTACACTTCTGAAGTTTTGGACAACTCACTCTTGGTAACTGTTTATGTCAAACTGTTGTTAGCTCAGTATTATGCATCACACACACAAAACAGTTCTTTCTGGTCCTCAATTCTGATTGGCTGAGAGGAGTGCGATATTCTAGTGATAACAAGTGACTCACAGCGAGTGTCATGACGGACGCCCAAATCCGCTATAATTTTATAAATAATACTGTTTTTGTCACTGAATGTACGCTAGTTTTCATTAAAGTTGTAGACTTTTTTAGGTGACAATGTAGTTATTTAGACCTGAAATGTGTGTTTAGTTAATAAAGATAACGTATATTTGAAAATTTGCTTCGACGAAATTTGCTCCAGGGCGTCAGCGGCTGTTCAACGCTCATGAATCCGCCGAGAGCAGCCTTATCTCAGCCAGTTCTTCTGGCTCTGATATCTCTATAGTGGTTAAACATCAGATATAATTCGTTTTAGGTAAATCTAACAGGCAATCTTCGGTCACATTAATCTATTATTTGTTCCAGAGCAAATTGTTTGGCTGAGGGCAAAATCTCATCACGTTATATTTTTTATACCTTTAGTGCTGTATATCAGAGCACAGCACTTTGTGCTGACTTAATTGCCTAGCAAGTTTTATGATGGCTGTTGCTGTTGTTGTTTATTATATATTATTATTCAATAAATAATATTTTATATAAATAATAGTAGTATTTAATAATAGTATTTAATATTGAGAAACGGTCTGTGTTCGTGATGGTGATTGGTGATGGTGATACTAGTTCTAAAGTGACGTTATCTAATTAGTAACGGAGGTTTGGGCTCAGCTGTTAAACTACTGACAATCTGAGATTTGAATCTGTGGTGGAAGGAAGTAGTTCTGCACAAAAGAGGGTTTTTAAAAACACTCCTTTGTTGTCATATGTGTATATGGCCGAATCATAGCTGATGCTGATATACAGCCATATCTCACTGCTATTCATGTGATATTGCTCACACACACACACACACACACACACAAACACACACACACACACACACATAAATGGTGCTTCTGACAGAGATGTTTAAAATGATTCAGTTGCACTTTACAATAAGACCTCTTTTATTATTAAAGCATCAACTAAATATATTTTACAGCATTTGTCAACCTTTGTTAATTTTAGTTAATACAAATGTTCATAGTGCATTAACTATTGTTTTTGTTAACTTTTGTTAATAGTTAACTTTAACTTTTGATTTTTGTATTTTGTATAGTTATAACATTTTATTTGATAATATATTAGTAAATGCTGAAATTAACTTAAACTAAGATTAATAAATGTTTTATAAGTATTGTTCATTGTTACTTAATGTTAATTAATGTCAAAAACTGAAACCTTATTGTAAAATGTTAATAATTCACGAGATGAAGTAGGGCTGGTTGATATGGCCAAACATATTATCACAATATACACAATATTCATTTTATACCATTAATGGGAAAGAAAATACATTCCACATAATATGACAATAGTTTTCTCAAATTAAACTGTGAAATGCTCATATTTTGCTTTTGCAAGGATGGGAACATTATAGAAGTTTCTATAACATTCTGGAATATCCTGTAATATTCTAGTGCTTTCTGGAACATTCCAGAACATCGTGGGACTAGTCATGAGACAAAAATTATCCAACGTACACTTCTGAAGTTTTGGACAACTCACTCTTGGTAACTGTTTATGTCAAACTGTTGTTAGCTCAGTATTATGCATGTACCATGTAATTTTTATGCATGAGCAATAACAGTAATAATTAGCTTGTGGTTTGTTTTCATGAGCACTGTTAATGACACAAAAAGTAATGAGATTTTTGTATTCAGCATGTCAAACTTCATAAACAGTAAAAATAAAAGTGAAGCAAAGATTTTCTAAAAACTTGTTTTACAGTGTAAATATCTACCAATTGCCCAATCCTATAGGATGAAAACTCCAGTCAACAGCCTTGAAAAAACTGTTTTATTCTACAAGGGGATGGTCACCAATTCAATACTTTTAGACACTTTTGTTTACAGAATAAATTAATCATGACAAACATACATATGATGTCACACCCCTGGACTGTCTTTGTGGTGTTTTCCCTCCCCATGTACTCCGTGACCCAGTTTATCCCCTGTCTAATTAGTCATTCTGTTCCTCCCAATTGCCTCATTAAGTCATGTATATTAGGTTCCAGTCTGTGCGTCCCTCTTTTGTCGGGTCTGCCAGTTGTGTATGTGTCTTCCTTCCCTTCCAAGTGTGGATTTACCCTGTGCTTTGGATTGAATAAATGACACTTTTGTTTATCCATGGCTCCATCGTTCTTTCTGGCAGAGTATCGTGACAGAAGACCTGACCAAGGACAGTTTTTTTACGTGTCTCCCCTCCGTTTGTTTTCCGTTTACCATTTAGCGTTTTTTGTTTCTGTAGTGTATCCTTCCCCATGGATTCCCTCGCTGTCAAGTTTACCTCCCTCGCCTGCAAGGACCTTTCCCTCTTGGAGTATGCTCTGGAGTTCAACCAGCAGTTCGACGATGCTGTGCTGAACTCCCTGTTCTGGATCTGGGCCAACTACTACTGCCCCGTCGACCTCCCAGACACCACCAGACTGTGCTGGAGGGAGGATATCATCCGGTGTCTGGAGAGCGTCTACCCCCGATCCAGAACACAGCCAGACCCAGAGCCCAGCCCACCATCACCCTGCTGCACGGAGCTTAAGCAGCTC